TTGACAGCTACAGATTTGTTTCTAGGGGTTTGGTTTTGGCCTGGCCAGATCTTAACAGGGGAAGAAAAGGTCTTTCCCAGGTAGGAAACTTCCTAAGACATTGCTGAGGAAGTACCATGCTATTCTGGTTACTAGTCAAGAAGCCTTAAAAAAATCCTGTTTCCTTCTTTCTGAGAGTACCCTTTCAATAAGGCAGTAATTCCATGCCACAGCCTCTGCTTTCACCAACAAGTTTTTAAGTCAGTTTTTAAGTTTCCTCCTAAATCCGCACCAGTCAGTTTTGGTTTCCTCCTAAATCCTCATTTCCAATTGCTTTGCTTGCTCTCTGAATCTCCTTCCACTCATCCTGCAGCTCTCTGACAACTGCGTGCTCAGAACCAAGTGCAGGATTACTGCAGCTGTAGGAGATTCCTGCAGCTCAAGCTACATTTTACTACTCTGAACCACCACGGCTTCATATCTTGCTGACTGTCAGTACCTTTCAACTCTACAGTTTTCTCTGTCTCTCTGAATACTAGCAGTCCAGACTTTTCCTTCATCTGCTGGCTTATATTAGGTCAAATTCAATTAGATATCTATTTAAATTGTCTAAATACAACCTATGGCTTTCTTCCTCCACTATTGTCCAGGTAAATATCAAATGACAGTTTCTTTCTGTCCTCTGCATTAGGACATGGGAGGTGGACTATAAACAAAAAGCTTTCACTCGCTTGTCAATGTTTGTGACTAATTGCTAACCCTAGTCCCTGTTGTATAAACATCTGACACCTCTTAAATGCCTCTGTCAAATGCCTGACTGAAAGCAAGGTGATCTGGCTTTAGGATCTCCTCAAATTATTTGTAACCATCAACAAAATAAGTACCTTTGCTTGCTGAGACGTATTATTTCCCCAGCCTGCTAGCACATCGCTAGTGCTCTGTCACTTATCTGAATAATTATCAGAACTGTAGCAAGTCCGTTAGCCGATTCCCTTACTGACCAGTACAGCAAATTATCTGGACTCCCACTATGCTGCAGTAAGCTCACATTTCACAGATATTTTCTTGCTTGCCTTTTATCAGTAACTGCATTACATCCTCATTGATTTTCAACTGTCCCTCTTTTCAAGTATTTTTTTAAATACATTTCCAGCATTTCAGAGTTATCAGTCTCACTTTGGGGTTCCTCTATTAAAAGCCTTTTTGTATTCCTTTCCCCCCAGACACCTTTATGAAAGCTTTTCTTTCCCT